GCTTTCAGAGCAACACACCCAGAAGCCAAGCACAGATGAGAGGTACCAATACATTTTCCCCCACAGCTGATAAGGAACTCACCCAGTCCTCTTCTGAACGACATGCAAAAAGACACCTTAATCAGTCTTACTGCTTACTTCAATAAATGTCTTTCTTGTCACAGGTGCTCACCATTGCCAAACCCTATTAACATATCAGTATCGTATCTACTACAGCTGACACAGCAGATACAAACACAGCACACTCCCTGCCCCCTGTATTTCACACTCTGAAAAAAAGCATCAACAGACAAAGCTTTAAATACTTTGTGTCCTTCCTAACTATCTCTGTATTTTATTCCTTGACTTAAAGGATTAAGATTTGGTTTCTGTGAGCAAACGTACAATTATCTGCTACAATTCCCTGTCCTTCAACTCCTCCAAAATAGCAGAAATTCCTCAGCTCTGCTATAGTGCTCCCTACAGCTAATGCAGGTGGTTAAGTGGCCTCTGTATCCCCTCAGCACGTATACATGTCTCCACGGGGCTCCTTATTGCTCCACATGAGAGGGAGCAAACTCTGAAAGGAGAGTTGCTTTCCCTTCTCCAAGGGAAGGAAAACAAAAACCAGACCACCCAGGATTTAAACCAAGTCAAAAGTTGTCCTGATCCAGAGCAACTACAAATTCTTCAGTTGCCGCTCTGAAGCAGCACAAAATGGAAGTCGATTACCACAAAGCATGCTTCATGCACCTAGACATTCACTTCCTCTACAGAAAGACCCACCACCACAACTGAGCTGGAAAGCAGAGCCCAGAGAATAATTTCTGCTAATACAGGGGCGTACAGTACAGGCGAACAGGGGCAAAGAGTTGTAAAGGCAAGATGGGCACAGCTGCTTTCCCTCTCAACAGAGCAGTTTAATTAACAGAACAGGCAGCAAAGGCCAGCAGCAGCCCGAGAGGTTCAGAAGTGATGGAAGGCACTCAGAGCCCACAGGTGCCTAAATGAGGCATCCCTTTTCATACCACTCAGATCCTGCAGAACCATGGTCTCCTCTTCCTCTGCTGCAGCTATCCAACAGGTCACTTTATCAATAGCTTTCTTTAGCACATCCCTGTCCATGGAACTAAAGCAAGATTGGGGGAAAGAAGCAGTGTGTAAAAAAAGATGAAGAAAAAAGATGAAGTCTTGTGCCGTGCTGTGGGAATGCAAAGGCATTGTTTCCCAACATTCACTCAATTCTCCAGACTGCATCCCATGATCAGTTTTCCTTCAGACAGACCACAGCATGCTGGAACAGCTGGCAGCAAGGCATTCAGACCAATAGGCCTTAGTTTTCTACAAAATGTGAACTGAGTGAAGGTGAACTGTCAACACAGTCAGTACTGAGGAGCCACCTCTCTGAATAGCACTCACCTGCTCACTTTGCAGCTACCTGCTAAGAGATGCTGGCTAAGGATCTTCTCCTGTGCCTCATTCATGTATGGGATTCCATCTCTGAGGAACTGCAGGGGAAAAGGAAATGCCAGGTTGGCTACTTTGGCTACTTTCCCCTGGACTTTCATGCAGCAAATTAGAGAACAGCAGATTAGCCAGGTCGAAAACCAGCATATACATGGAAGACGTTAGTGTTCCTCAGAGTATCCTCTTCAAAAATACAACCTGGAGGTAACGCAAGATGCATTCTTACATATTGGAAGGCAAGTTTATGCATAGAGGAAAGAAAAGGATTTTTGTCAACTCTAGTCATTTTCTTCCTCTGCTTTTACCTTTCCTTTAATGAAGTACTTCAAGTGTCAAGATACCATGATGCCTCCTGTCCAAAATTGCTAAACAGTGTTATTACATGATGACATAGTCTGAATTTTATGGAAAATGTGGCAATATGCAAGATGCAGGTAAACTGAGACTTCCCCACCTTCATGGCTAATAAAGACTCCCACTGGGGTCTGTTTAGTAACTCCTCAGCTCAGAGATAGGTATTTTGTTTTGTTGTTTTGTTTTGTTTGGTTTTTTTTTTTTGGTTTTTTTTGTTTTTTTTTTGAGGTGGGAAATCTGTCTTACATTGACAAAGATGTGGTTATTGCCTCTACAGCAGTTCAGAAAACCAGCACTCACTCTCCCTGTTGGTCATGAACCATGTGATAAATTCATACTTTAGCAAGATGCTATTTACCACAGAAATGTAGCATTTAGGGATATTAATCCTAATTTCTCCTGTAATTGCACAGGCTTCCTCTGTTCTAGATTTCTGGCAGAGAGATTACATACCTTATTATAATCAAAGCCATAACGAGAGAGGAACTGAATGCTAGATGCAGAGAAGGTTAATTCAACGTCCGTAACTCCCAATGTTGAGGGAAAGAGAAGAAAGTTGTATGAATGCACAACATACCTACAATGAAAAGAAAAATCTCTCCAGAAGATGATTACAAGAAATAACTCCTCCCAGAAGAATTCTGCATAAAAATCTCAACTGCAATGTCTTCATTGTAACAGAAAACTGTTTTTTTACTTACTTGTTTGAATTTTTCTTTGAGAATATTGCCAGCCCTGCAATAGAGAGAAACCTCTGTTGAAATGGCAATGTTTAGCTGAATGTCTACGGATATTGTGAAAATTAGGTAAGAGGTGTGGGGATCCCCTGATGGAGTGCATGTTTTCTATTCACTAATGCCGCAGTATGAATCTTTACAGCAACTGCCAGGCCACTCCCCAACACCCTGAGAGCTGAAAAGGGAACAAGCTTTCAGTGCTAAGTGGGAAAGGAGTCAAGACTGATTAAATAGCAAATAGATAGAGCAATGGGTGAGAAGAGGTGAGCTGGTGACAAAAATCTCCAACCACGCATGCGCAGGTCTATGGGTCCAACTACACTACAAAAGCATCTGGAAGGAACTAGGCACCAGAAGACTGACACACATTTTCTACTGCTTAGTTTTTTTTTCTATTAGCCCCTAAAAAACACATTAAGTTCTTACATAGCCTAAGGCTTTGAACAATATTTTCAACCATTTGGGAGCTGGTTTCTTGACCTCAAACTCGTTCTAAACAGTCAAAAGCCCTCCACCACCACCACCGGCCCCTTCTTGTGTTATTATTTTAGGAATATCTGAAATACCAGCCTTCATTTTCCTCTGATATCCCCCTTATTCATACAGTACATCAAATGACACAGCCTTGAATAGGAGCTGCTGTCACCTTCTTGCCATGCATCCTGTTTCAAAAGTCCTGTATTTGTACCCGCAATCTTTAAACATGAACAGCTTTAGACCAGAAAATAAGTATACACCCCACCAGACTCTACATTATTTAAAATATTAAAAAGTATATAGTATTTAACATCAGGGGAAGAGAGGCTGAGGACATGACTCCATGACATCTACCACAGCCAACAGATGTCTCTGTAAGGAGTGAATTAAGACCAGCATTACCTGCAGGACCAGCCAGCTGGCAAAAGGCCAGTTACCACTAAGAGCTCAAGAGATTTTCCATGTCTGACCAGCACTTACCAAGCTGAGCGACAGTGAAGCGCTGAACGCTCTGCCTGGCCTTCGGGTATCGCTCCGCAGGGGAATCAAACAGGCTACGAACAAAACCAGAAATGGGGGGAGTGGAAACAAGAAGGTTTGCGATGCACAGGTTGTTCTCAGAGAGCGAGAGCATCAAGTCTCCCTCACATTTCAAGTCCAACACCTTTACCTGGGCTTGTCATTTTGTGGGACAGTTGAATGTAAACCAGTAAACTCCATATCAAGGGCTGTTGAGGTGGAAAGAACACAAGAAAAAAAAAAAAAAAAAAAAAAGCCTTAAATACAAAACACGCGTTCCACCAGCATCAGGACAGGGATCTCTGAAGCACCTCTCTTCACCGTAACCCGGATCAAACCCACGGGGAGCAAGCTCAAAAGGCAACCGACTGCCGTAGAAGCGGTCTCCTGCTCCCTCACCCCTGGGGAAGGGCGAGGGAAGGAAGACAAGCCCCGGGAGGGGCCTGCCTCACCCTCTGGGGTGTTGTGTGTCCCCCCCCGCCCCGTAACAAACATCCTCAGCCCACCGAGCCGAGGCCACCACCGCTGAGGGGGTCACTTCCGAACCTCCGCTGCCTGTTTTAAAATCCAGCGCCTCAGCGTTCGCTGCTCTAGCGCAGCGACCGGCGCCGTTAGCTGCTACGATACAGCTCGACGCCCGCGGCGCTCCCGGCCTCGCCCCTCGCCGGGCAAGGGCCTGCCGCCGCCCCCCCCTCCGCGGGCGGGGGCCGGCGCGAAGGGCCCCGCTCCCCGCCTCACCCAGGAAGTCGGCGCGGCCGATGCGGCCTCGCAGGCGCGGCAGGCACCGCTCGAAGCACGCCGCCCCCACCTCCATCGCGGGCCTCCGCGCGGGCCCCGGCCCTGCGCGCCTGCGCGGCGCCGGCTCCGACCCACCCGGCTTTAAAAAAAAAAAAAAATAAAAAAAAACCCAAGAAAAACAAAACAAAAAAAAAGGCCGAACCCACAGGCACCCGCGAGTGGCGGCGGGAACGCGAGCCGGGGAAGGTTCAGGCTGGAAACGGGGAAGGCTGAGGAGCCGCCGCTCGCAGCGAAAGCAGAGGGCAGCGCCTGCTGCGCATCCTTGCCTTCGGGAAATGGAGCTGGCGGAAAGGCCACCACCAGCTGTGAGGTGTTCAGTATGATGAAACGACACCAACTACTAGGTAGGAATGCAGTAAAATACTGGGATTTTTTTTTTTTAAGAGCGGCGCTAGCCGAACGCTAAGGATCGAGTACAACCCCCGGAGCCGGGCCGGTGCCGGGGCACGCTGCTGAACCCCGGCGCACGGCCTGGGGAGCCTGCACGCGCCGGGCAGCCCGTGCGGCACCGGGCGGCCGCGGCCAAGCCCCGGCGCTTCTCGCGAGGGTTCGCGCTCGCCGGGGTCCCGCCAGCCAGCCTCGGCGCAGCCTCCCGCCCAGGCCTGTCAGGCTGTAGCTAGAATCTAAGGGCTGCAACAAACCCGCCAAAGAGACTTAGGGGACGTTTAATCTTCTCACCGAGTTCAGCACGTAACTTTATTACAGTTCTAAACATTCACATGATGACTGCATTTTGCAAAATTAGACTGACGCAGTACAGGGATCCAGTATCTAAGCACTTCCAGAGTTCAGGTTAGAACAAACACAAAATCAAAAAGAAAATTAAAATTATTGAATTCTGAAGAAAATTCTGTTAACCCGTCAGGCTGAACTATGGTAACAGTTTATTCCAGCCTTAAAGGCGTTGATAACTTCAGAATCAAGAATATGATACACTTCTGTCCATTTAAAAACATTTTATTATAAGATGCCATGTTCCAACTTTTTCCAGCTCCGGACCTTCACTGTGCTGGTACACACCCCTAAAGAAGTGATCATTGATCCTTGGAAAGTTTTCCCAATGGCCTCCACTTTACTGATAGATTCTTCGTGGCTCACGCAGAACGACACCGCCCTCCTCCATAGCTTTTTCGAATTCCTTAATCTTGTTCAAAAGAGAGAGATGTGAATGAATACAAAGAAAAAACATCAGCACTGAAATATCAGTGGGGACATGTTGTGTGGAGGGGCAGAGGTTAACAGCCTCACTGAAGCACAGTGCCAGGAACTGCAGCTTGTCAAAAGCTACCCTTTTGAGTGTTGCAAGAAGGGACTGTCAAACCACATAAGAAAATTAATGGTAGAAGAGGAGTAAAATTAATGTTTAAAAAGGAAAAAAGGGCCAAATAAATGTAAGGAGATGGGTACTTGCCGAGTCACAACGATATTCCCAGGGGATAATAGCTTTAAAGTTCACAAAGTTGATTCCTGCTTCCAAACAGCGCTGTGCCATTACACGGCCAAGGTTTTTGCATGCTGATACTCCCTTGGGACTGTACAGGTGTCTCTTTATGGCCCACTCTCGGGTAGAGGCAGATACCACAACATCTCCGTTACAGCGCTCAACAAAGGCTTCTACATAATGCTGTGTCCGCTCAAACCGTAACCTGAGTGAAGAAATAACATGGGATTGTGATGCCTTTTCCAGACGCAGAGAGAGAACGCACTGAAATACTTAAATGCCTGACTCACTTTATGAAATAAAAGTGAACATACTAAAACTATTAATACAATAATCAATTCTTAGTATCACTTTTATTACCTAGGGTTTTGCTTATTAGGACGCAGAATAGGACAGAATATTACCAGTTCAGCAGAGTGACATTCCAAGAACAACTTTTCACCAGTGAGTCCTACGCTGCCTCATGGCAGCACTTGCTCCAAGCCAAGCACCGCACACCTGCACAGCACAGGACGGGTGCCTGCAGGACGTGCCAGGGGAACTGCTCCAGCCAAAATGTAACTTTAGTCTGCTACGCAGTCTCTTAAAGGCTTATGCCTACCCAGCAGGTAACAACTTGTCAGGATCAGCAAGTGGTCAAGCAGTACTTCATAAGCCCTAGCACATAACCACAGAGTACTAGGAGAAACTATTTCGTACCGCACTGAGACAATATAAGATTTGCAGGTATGAACAAACTGGATGTGGTTCTTCCCTCAAGAACAAAATGATGATTTTGAATCCCCAGCTTAAAATGAACTTATATTCCAGAGAACAAGCAAGCAGCATTTTCTTAACAAAAAAAAAAAAAAAAATTAAAAATGAAAAAAATATCACACTCCCTCCAAACAAAAAACAAATGAAAACAAAATAAAGCAAAACAAAACAAAAACACATAAAAAACCCCCAAAAAACAAAAACCCAGACTAATTATGGTGCCTCAAATAAAACAACGGTGCATGGTCAGCACAGGACTAGGAGAATCCTAAGTTAAACAGCAGTTTCTTAAACAGTATTACTGCTACCTTAACTACAGATGGAAATATCTTCAAGGCATATACTAACTTTCACATGATGCTAGCCTACTATTCTCTGAACACAGAACATACCTGTTGATTAAGAACAGCTAAGGGGGCAACTGATTCAGCAATGCAAAAGGCACATTTTGTAGAATTTCCACCTGGTGGGTTTCTGGGGTTTGGCTTTGTGGAGGGTTTTTTTTCGGTTGGTTGGTTATTTTTTTCTTTTGGAGTCTTCGATTCTGCTGATGGCTTTCTGACTCACCTATGCCAGAATTCACGCTTTGGCCATGTTGTCTTCCAGCCACGCTCCTTCCTAGCCAGGGCCAACTGCTCCAAGTTCCGAGGATTCCTGTTAGTGAACTCTGGGGCAACAACCTCATTTTCACTTGTGTCCACTTCAGTCTCAGTTTTGAGACTAGCTGTAGTTGATGCAAAATGAAGACCTGGGGGGAGAGCAGGAAATAAAATCCCAGAGACTTAAAAAAAAAAATATATATAGTACAAGTAGTAGAACGGATATAATACAGAATGATGCAGCTTGTACAGTCAGCAAGGCAAAATCAGCTATTTTTTTAAGAAACACTAAATTGGATTATCAGAACTCAACCTGTTTCCCCAATTTATGAGGTGAACTGTACACTCAAAATGAAAAGTATGTTAAGTTTTAACAATGGTTCGAAACCCACCCATAAGATGCATGACTAGAAGATCCCTAGGATTAAGGCTTTATGAAACACTGAAAGTGAAGTACAAGAAGAACCAGTGACAGCTCTACCAAATAACAAGGCAAAAATCCCCGATGCTGCGAGGCTAATCACCACGAATTAACCTAACAAACACGAATTGGGCGTTAGGCTTGCGAACTCCCTCAGCTACTCAACTCCTGGGTCCCGGGAGGCCGCGGGAACCTCTCATCGGCGTGACGGGCAGAGGCTCTCCCTGTCAGCCCGGCCGTCACAACCCGGGGCGGCGGAGCACCCCCCTCGGGGGCTGAGCTTACCCGCTCCGAGTGCCCGGAGCCCAGCGGCCGCCAGCACCGGGCGGCTGCAGCTGTTCAGCGCCATGGGGAGCCGTCGCCCGGCGCGGCGGAGGGCGGCAGCCACCTCCCCGCCGCTGCGCTGCGCTCCGCTCGGGGTCACCTGCGCGCCGCCATCTCGGCGAGGCCGCGCTTCCCCCGGAAGCGGCCTCGGGGGACTTCCGCCCGCCCTTGACGCCAGACGGAAGCGGCGGCCGCCCCGGCTCCCGTTCGGCCGGGAACGGCAGTGCTGTGGCAGTCGCGCCTTACAGAACAAAGCAGAAGGCGGAGAGCTTCTTTAGTTTTTTCCTCTTGGGGAAAGGCCGAGAGGAAATACGGGAGCGGGTCTAAGACGGAGCGGCGCCCAGGAAGCGGGCACGCGCGCGTGGTAGGGCGGGGAGGGGGGCTCCTACAACAAGCTACCAGGAAGAGACCAGAGCCGCTACAAAAACTGCCCATCCTCTACCCTTATTAGTAAAAAAAATCGCTCGTTCTGCGCCGCGGACTGCGACTCTTCCGCTACTGAACCGGGCGGAAGCGGCGCCGGCAGCCGCGCAATGCCGTCTACCCCTCAGGCGGCGGGGGCTAAGCCACCCATCCCGCTCCCCGTCCCCGGCCGCTGTGGGGCTGTCCCGCGCTCTTGCGAACGCCGCGCCGCTCACGGGGACGGGAGGGGGGATGGGGACGCGTGTAGGGACGCGCCGCCGCCAGCCTACGCCGTTGGGCGGGCGGGCGGTCAGCCTGCCGCGCCGCGCCCCGGAGGGAGGGGGAGCGGCTCGGCGGGCTCCAGCGTGCGCGCGCCCACCCGCTCCAACCTTCTAGAACCTCCTAGAAGCGCCCCCTCCCTCCCCGTTACGGCGTGGCGGCTTTGTTCGGCCGCACGCACCAATCGCGGCTTGAGCCTGGGCAGTGCCGCGCGCTTGGATTGGGCAAGGCAGGGCGTGTCCCCGCCCCCTTCCCCCGACGCGCGCGCGCAGGGGCGGTCCCTCCGGCCTGTGCCGGGGGGCGGGCGGTACCCAGCGTTCCCTGCGGCCTTCCGGCCATTCTGCGTCTCCGCGCGCTGCTTCACCTGTCGGTGGCGCGCCGCGGCCGGGCGGGAAGATGGCGGCGATGGAGGGGCCTCTGGCCGTGTTCGGCGAGCGGACCAGCGGCGACACCATCCGCACGCAAAACGGTAACGGCCGCGCGCTGCCGACAGGGGCGTGCATGGGCGGCGGGACATAAAGGAGGCGACACGGGGCGGCCGTTAGTGCCGCCATGTGCTTGCTCGCCTCTGCCCCCGCCCGGAAAGGGCCTCGCCCTGCCGCCAGCTTCTCTCAGGCCCAAGCCCTCGGGAGGGCCGCCGCCGCCGTCGTCTCGGTGGCCGAGCGCTCCCGCTCGCGGGCGCCTGTACCTTAGTGGGGAAGGAGCGGCCGGGGAAGCTTACTGGTCCACAGGCGCAGAAAAATAACCTGCTCCTGGAAGTAGGGACAGTCCTCGACTGTAGTCTCAAAAGGTTCCACATTTCTCAGGATTTTATCCCAGGTCTTGGGAGAAGGCTGCAAATTCCGCGACTGTTAATTTCTGAGTAGATAAAAGACGGAGGAGCTGAAGACCTGATTCCTGATAATCGTTAGTCTTACAGCTCTAACTATACTTTAAGGAAAACACGTAGAATGAGACCATAATCTACAGATGAGCTTCTGTTTGGTAATGGCACCTTTGATACAGCGGTTATTTCTTTCAGAATGCTGCTATTACTCCTCCAAAGCAAAAGACATAGTTACATTGTTTGAAGTTCAAAGGGAAGGTCTGACTTTTAACCATTCCCATTATACTACCACTTTTTCAATTTCCAGATTAAGTGGCTATGCTTGTGGGATAAAGAAAAACTTGCCACGGTCTGAAGGAAAAGGTTGATTGTATCTTTTTCCTATATGAAGTTGGCAAAACATCCTTTAAACAAGCCACTGTGTTAGAGATTTCATGTTATTTTAGTAGTGAATAAAATGTCACTTTTGACTTCCTTGATTTAGTTACAGAGTAAGTATGTTGTTTCAGTCACGGACATGATCAAGACAAAAAAATGTGCTACTAGTTGATATATGGTGATACCATTGTTCTGTATCTGCCTAGAACCAAGGAGTAAATGAGTGAAGTTTCATGGGATGACTTACTGCTGCCAAACGAAACCGTGCTGCCAACCTCTGCTACGCTCTTCTGACCTCAGTAGTGTCCTCCATTTTACCAAGCCAGCAGAAAACAATTCTGAGCAGTTAGTTTTGCCAGGTTAGTTAGCTGAACCAGCTTGGAGGGAAGAGTGAGGTTTGGCATAGATTGTATTTTTCAGTAGCAGAAAGCCATTACTAGCTTAGCTAGGCTGAAGCCTAATCCTGAGTTAATACACTTATATCTCAAGTTTCTGAATCACAGGTTCTTGGCACATTTTCTTGTAAACCTGAATCACCTCGAAGTTGGAAAGATAAAACTTTTTTCTTTTTTTCTTTCACTTACTCAGTTACTGCTGCATCTGCTATTGCCAATATTGTGAAGAGTTCCCTTGGACCAGTTGGTCTGGATAAGATGTTGGTGGATGATATTGGGGTAAGTAAGCTTTCTTAAGAAGTGTCAGGAGGACTTAGAAGTACTGGTCAAATTCACGGGAATTAATATCACCATTGAAGTCAGGCCTTGTGATGGCATTGACTCGTATATCCTGGTCTCCACATGAGGAAAATTTAAAAAAAAAAAAAAATCCCTTAAGAATTTTAAAGCAGTATACCATATTTCATATTTTTAAATATTTCAAGCAAATGGGAAAGATTTGCCATTTTGCAGGTTGCTGTAATAAAATACTGTATTAGAGGGTATTTATTGCCTCACTAGTAATCCAGTATGTGCAAAATGTTTGATGAGTTTGTGTAACATAAAGACTTTTTTGATAAGAAGAAAATACAGATTCAGCACTGGTAATATTTCTGTTGTTACAATGGGACTCCTAGTTAAAAGCGTTCAGTAAACATTTAGTATAAGTAGTTACTTGAATTGATATTTGCAGAAAGTAATTAACTTTCATTTGTGTGAATGTTACTAAACACAAAAGTAAAAACATAATCGAAATACACTTCGTAATAACATTTGATTTCTGAAAATTAGGACGTGACCATTACTAATGATGGTGCAACCATTCTGAAACTGCTCGAGGTGGAACATCCTGCTGCAAAAGTTCTTTGTGAGCTGGCAGACCTGCAAGACAAAGAGGTTGGCGATGGGACAACCTCAGTGGTATGTACAAAGTGTTACAGGCAGATACAACGAAAGTCAGCATTCCGTTATCTCAGTGTGGCTTTTGATTTATCTGTTATGAATCCTGATGCAGTGTCGAATCAGCTGCACAGAATGAAAAACCTTGGAATTGACTGAATATAAGAATTTTTTAAAAGTAGGTTATAGGATAAAGGAATTAGGCTTGTGGATTTTTCAGAAATGCTAGTTTCCATACGCAGCTGATGCTCTGGAATGGGATTTGCTTACTGCAGTTTCATTATTTATTTTTTGATTTCTTGAAGGCTGGGGATAGATTCTGAATTAAAGTTTTTAATTTTAACAACCCTGAGAAATTAAGTGTTAAGACTAATAAGGATGCTGAGTGTTGAAAGCTTGTCTGAGACTTTTGACAACTTGGGGGTGGGGGCCAGGGGTGGAATCAGCTGGCTTTTACCTGGTATCAGAATCTATTTATAATTTTAGGTTGCAAGTACTTGTTTCCCCTGAGTATACTTTAGACAACTGTTTGTGATTCTGTTTTCCACTTAAGGGCAACAGGTTTGGTTGTATGGAATACAGGTATTTAATGTTTGTATTTCAAACAGGTAATTATTGCTGCAGAACTTCTGAAAAATGCAGATGAGCTAGTGAAACAGAAAATTCATCCTACCTCCATTATTGGTGGATACCGACTTGCTTGCAAGTAAGAGACTAATACAGTTGACGTACATTGTGTTTTTTAAGGGACAATAACTGAATGGTTTTTGTTTATTTCTGTATTTGTAACTGTGTTAATACAGACTTCTTGGTGCAAAGTGGATGTGGTGGTTTGCTGGGGGGGTGGTTATTTTTGTTCTGGTTTGTTTTTTTAATTTTGTATTTTTGTAAGCACATAACTGTCACATTCCTATCTTAGAAGAGGAATTGATTTCATGACTGTGTTCTTTGAGGTAACATTTAGAAGGGCTGAAAACATGTAAGATTTTTGTCTTTTTGTGGGGTTGAAATTCTTGACCAGTATTTGTCTTTATTCCACAGGGAAGCAGTTCGCTACATCAATGAAAATCTTATTATTAACACAGATGAATTGGGCAGAGAGTGCCTAATTAATGCTGCTAAAACATCCATGTCCTCTAAAATTATAGGAATGTATCCTTTAACTTGATCAAGTTAGTTCAGTGAGAGTGCTCAATTGGAAAGCTGGAGTAGCTGGGCTAGTTGCCTTTGCAGCAGTTCTTATCAATGAGGTATTCAGTCTGTCGTTTTGCTAGCAGGGGTGTGAAAAATGTTGCACAGATACTGTTTCCTGACATGGGAAAACATGTTCATACTCTTCTATTTTATTTAAACCTGGTTAGGCACGTAACAATAGCTTTAACAGTGTATTGTTTCCTTAGTACTGCATGTTAGTGAGACTAGATAAGGAATTGTGTGAATGGGAGAATGCCTTACAGAAGTCAAGTACTTGGGGAGTGAAACGAGAGGAAAGAAGGTTGCAATTTACTTCCGCACTTACAGAAAAACGTGCATTTTTGGCTTTTCTGCTAACAAGGGAATGCAGACTGACCATAGAATAGGTATTTTTGTTAAGGAACAAAAGGTGTGTAAGATGCAGGCATCTCACTAGCCTGTCCTAATTTTCTTACCAGTGTTTCAGCTTTAAGAATTACTCGTTTCTTTAAGGCTATGGTAAAGCAAGCTAGCACTTCCATGCGTTTCTGGAATTCTTTTTTGGAAACAGTTTTTGACTCTTAGTTTGGGCACTGTTGGTGGCCTTGTTTTCTTCTTAAGCATAATACTAGTTTTGTTCTTCAGTTTTAACCTTAACAGCATTTTAGAGATGGTGATTTCTTTGCTAATATGGTGGTGGATGCTGCACTGGCAGTTAAATACACAGACCAGAAGGGTCAGGCTCGATATCCAATCAACTCGGTTAATGTTTTGAAGGCACATGGCCGCAGCCAGAAAGAGAGCATACTTGTGAATGGTTATGCTCTGAACTGTGTGGTGGGCTCACAGGGTAAGAACATGCTATGTTTCATAAAGCTCTTGTGTGAACGCAGTCCTCTTAGTCTGTCTGCATGGATCTTAATGACTGCATTAGTTGCAAATCACGCGGGCTTTAAATTCCAGAACAATTAAACAAGAACGCAGAAAAAACTTACCACTTCAGTAGTGGTTTCTAGGCTAGGTAAGCTACTGTGGTTTCCCTAGGTGAGTATCAGAATGGTAACACTGTGATCTTCTGGAACATAAGTGTCTCCTTTGTTGGGGGGAGCCAGTGTCTGGTTTGTAGGGAACTGTTACATTTAGCAGAGCTGTGGTGTTTTTCTGTACTAAGGCAGAACTGGAAGTGGAGAAACAAACTGAATAGAAATCTGAAATGTGAAAGTAGCAGTTTCAATCTCTAATACTAACAATGTTCT